TAGAGACAGAACGGTGAGGACGCTACCGGAAGGCCCGCTGGGGAAGGCCGGGGAAGCGCTGCTGTGGCACGCACATGGTCGGGTGCGGAAGGAGCCCATGCGGCGCGGAGCCCGCGGAGCTCGCCTTACGACCGGCCTTGGGTAGCCGGTGCCGCTCTGGAACTTGACAAGGGGCTCATTCCTTTGGGAAAACGCACCAATCGGAGTACTTGTGTTCACCCTTTGTTGCTCCGAGGGATCCTTTGAGGTTGAGGTTTAGACCATGTGCTACATTGTAATGAAAGAGCCTATTGGCTTGTAGTCCAGGTGAGGCTAGGGTTTTAGAAGATGTAAAATGACTGGAGTGCTTGCGGAAGAACTCATAGGATTTTGAATTTTAGGCAAGTGTCGTGGTCTTCGTACTGCCAGGAAGCTCCGTAGCCACCGACGAGATCAGAAGTGGCATGATAAACAGTATAAGAAAGCCCATTTGGGCACAGCCCTGAAGGCCAACCCTTTTGGAGGCGCGTCCCATGCGAAAGGAATTGTGCTGGAAAAAGTGTAAGTGAAAGTCCACACTTGTTCTTCAAGGTTTCTTTTACTATGGTAACGCGAACCAAATACATCTGAAGTTGTTAATTTTAGATACAAATTCTAAAGTGTTTGGGTAGAATATTTGTCTGGAAGTTGGTAACTTAGGGCTTAGGGGTTGGGTAACTAAGGGTTTTGAATCTCTTAGGGATGGCATTGGAGGGGGGCGGGTAGTAACAAGGGACGAGCTGTCTTAAGAAATTGCCACTCAACCATTTTATTCTTAGCAATCACATCTTTCTAGTTGGGACAATTAAGGTAAAGAGAAGTTTCTTGCCTGAGGTTGCAAATCTGAGGTTGAGCTGCATGAAGGTTGACTTTACAAAATGATAATTTTTAAGGCACTAATCAATGCACTGCCAGTCAGTAGTCTTTGTATCTCTTATTTTTGATTCATATTTTTTACAACTGGTAAGGGCCCAGAGATTTTCCCTGAGGGAAAGCTTGGTTGAAATCACAGGAGTTAACCAATTTAGGATTAGACCGACTAGGTGGAAAGAGCATAATGTCTAATGAATTCTCTGCCTAACAAACTAAAATGTATGCCTTCTCAGAAAGGCACCTCACTGCTGTGCTCTTTATGTTTTAGAGGGGTTGAAGCCAAACAGCCAAATTCTGCCATCAGGAAGTGTGTCAGGGTCCAGCTGATCAAGAATGGCAAGAAAATCACCGCCTTTGTACCCAATGATGGTTGTTTGAATTTTATTGAGGTAAGTGTTTTAGTCTGCTCTTGCTTCTGTTTCTGAGATGGTTTTGCCCGGTTTTTTTATATGAAGAACGCGTATTTTTAATGATTGCCACTCACACCAGAAGTAAACTGTTGATTTTATTCCAGGAAAACGATGAAGTTCTGGTTGCTGGATTTGGTCGCAAAGGTCATGCTGTTGGTGACATTCCTGGAGTTCGCTTTAAGGTCGTCAAAGTAGCCAATGTCTCTCTTTTGGCCTTATACAAAGGCAAGAAGGAAAGACCAAGATCTTAAGTTTTGATGATGAAAACGTGACAATAAATTTTCATATACCAAAAATATGTTTTGTGTCTTATTTTCTTTAGTACAGAGATGCAGTGTATACCTTTCCATTTAAGGAGAATGGGAATACCATTAATTCAGGATTCTCTACAGTAAATGGGATTCATAGTTTTTTCTACTCTATGGAATAAATGTACAGTGTTCCTGTATAGAGAGAGGGCTTCAAAAACTAACTGCACTTAAAGCAGGAATCATGTTGGGAAACCCTAGCAGTGTACTTTCTGAGATCCATCTGCCTGGGGACCCAGTATGATAAACGCCCTCAAGTTGCTCCCTGCTCTGGTGTTTGAGTATCTAAAGGTTCACGATCCGTGTTGTAATTCTGTTTATGACAGCAAGAAAGGCACTAGATGATTGAGTGGAAGTGTATGCCTGGCAAATTGAGACAGAAGAAAAACTTGTTTGGGGCTCCTGGGTGGCTCAGTTGAGCATCTGACTCTTGATTTCAGCTCAGGTCATGGGATCGAGCCCTACATTGCATCAACCTCCACACTGAGCATGGAGCCTGCTTAAGATTTTCTCTAAAAATAATTGTAAAAATCAAAGGAAAAAAGCAAGAATGTTGAACTATAGAATGATTAACCTCAGTGTTCTTTGTACTGACTGTCAGTAACTGATAGTTTGACCTTGAGGTTTATTTCATGGCACAAAGTAGAAGTGATCAGTTAGAAATGATCTAGAAGGATTGTAGCTTGATAATTGAAGCTGGGTATTGGGTTCGTGGGACTTTTTTGTCCATTCTTTCGGATTTTTATTCCGGTATAGTTAACATACAGTGTTCTCTTAATTTCAGGTGTACAGTCTAATGATTCAACACTTCCATACATTACCTGGTGCTCCTCACAAATGGACTCCTTAATCCCTATCACTTCACCTATTCTACCCCCTACTTCCTGTGGTAACCATTAGTTTGTTTTCAGTAGTTAAGAGTTTTTGGAGTTTTTTTCTTGCAGCATGGTGCAGTCTGTTAAGCAGCCAACTTCAGCTCAGGTCATGGATCTCACAGTTTATGGTTTGAGCCCCAGGTCAGACTCCGCTGACAGCTCAGCCTGGAGCCTGATTCGGATTCTGTATCTCCCTCTCTGTCCCTTCCTCTTGCGCTCGCTCTTTCTCTCTCTCAAAAGTTTGTTTCTTGGTAGTGTCTTTAACTCTTGTTTCAAAATTTCCATAGGAGAAAAATAATAAAATCTGTCTAAAATGAAGCTTATTAGCTTTCTCAAATTTTATTGGAGGAACTGCTGTTGGCAGCATTAGTAAATGTGAATTAATTTGCTCTTTGAATATAGCCTAGTGTTAGGTTATGTTTAGGATCTTGGAAAATGAGAATTCTTTGGCTTTCAATTTCCCATAAGACCAAAACCATGGTCCTTTCCACAGTATAGCAGATCGGTGTTTTGTCTGGTCCTTTCCTCCTCCAGCAGCAATGAACTCTGCCTTGCTCAAACTTGAATTTCCCAGGCAGTTTCAGGAGACCCCTCACATTCCACCTGCTGCTTCAACCATCTCAGACCTCCTTGATTTCCAAATACATCACACATCACACTTGTGTTTATGCTTGTCACAAATGATTGTGTGATTTGTGTTTCCACAAGAATGGGGAGTGGCTTTTTTTTTTTTTTTTTTTTACTGAAACACAAAGTCTGACATTTAAATTGTGTAAATTTAATAAGTACACATTAATTTGATACATTTATATGTGGTAATAAGACAAGATGGGCTATCCTTTATTTCTGTTTCAGAGTTTACTAATGTGTGTAGTTGCATAGGTATCCACTAAGTCATTCTCAAAGGCTGACCAGATGCTTTCCAGTTGACATACTGACCCAAGCAGGGAGATCTCTGGGTCTTGTCTACCCGGCCTGAACCACAAGAAGCCACCAAGGGCCACAAGATCTCATCCCTGTGGTCAGGTGCAGTGTAGGGAGCTGGGAGGTGTTGCCTGGCAGTGCAGGAGGGAGGAGGCTTGGGGAAGGTGAGAAGGTGGGTGGCACTGACACCTACCCACCCCTCTGCAGTGTGTCCTTTTTTCTGCCATGTTGAGACCGCGGCCAAGTCTATAGAGAACACACCTGGGAGTTAAGACATTATGTGACAGTGGCTCACTCTTGTCTGCTGGGTGCACCAGGGATGCCTGTCCTATAGCTAAATGACTGACAGACACAAATCCACCTCATGTACCTCAAGCCCCAAGTGTTTGATCTGCTTCCTTAACAACTCCTTCTGCCTCCTGTGTATTTCTCTCACCCATCCCTCACCACCTTGTGACCCATACTGCCCTTCTTCGATCCAGCATGAAGTGTGTGCCTCGTCTGTGCCGCATGTGTAAGCTGTAGGGTGAGAGAAACAAAGCACTCACCTTGGGTGCAAAACTTAAGCAAAATCCCAGCAGATTTTTTTCCTGTAGAAATAGAAAAGCTAATTCTAAAATTTATATGAAAAGGTAAAGGAACTAGAATAGCCAAAACAATACTGAAAATAAAGAATAAAGGGTGGAGGAATCACAAAACTTAGTTTTAAGATTTAATTTATAGCTGCAGTAATCAAGAGGGTGTGGTATTAGAGAAGAGGTAGACACAGATCACTAAAATAGAATCCATTAAAAGACACAGGTAAGACAAACTGATTTTTGACACAGATACAAAAACAATTCAATGGAGGAAGGATAGTTTTTACAGTATACAGTATAGACTTTAATTTGCAAAAAAGAACAGACCTCAACTTAAATTGCACACCTTATACAGAAATTAATTCAAAATGGGTCATAATATATGAGTGTAAAATATGAATGTAAAATATAAAACTAAAACTTGTAGAAGAAAAGCCTTAATGACTTACAGTTAGGTGAAGAGCTCTTAGACAATACATCAAAAGTACATTCCACCAAAAAAAAAATAATACACTGGCCTTTTTCAAAATTAAAAATTTTATTCTGCGAAAGATCTTGTTAAGAGGGTGGAAATACGGAAACACAGGGGCGCCTTGGTGGCTTAGTTAAATGTCCAACTCTTGATTTTGGCTTAGGTCATGATCTTGCGGTCATGAGTTCGAGCCCTGTGTTGGACTCTTCATTGGGCATGGATCCTACCTTAGATTCTCTCTCCTCCATTGTCTGTCCCTCCCCCACTCCCCCACTCCCTCCCTCTCCAAAAAAAGAGAAGAAAAAAAGGGATGAAAATACATATCAGAGACAAGCCAAAAATATTTGCAAATCATATACCCAACAAAAGACTTGTATCTAAAGTATATAAAGAACTTTCTAATCTCAAAAGTGATGAAACAAGCAGTCCTATTACAAAATGTATGAATTCCCTTTGTTTCGTTCTAGGAACATGTCTGGTGGCAGGATTTGGTCATAACAGTCATGCTGTAGATAACACTCCTGCAGTCTGTTTCAAGGTTGTCCCAGTAGCTAACCTTTCTTTATTAGCTTTGCACAGTCAAGAAAAGAGACTGACATCATAAATTACATATTATGATAAAATTTTCACTAACGGCAGCTTGTATAATCTTTATTTTAACCGATAAAATCTGTTTCAATGGATCATTCAAGTTTCAGCTCATATTTCTTATGACACTACAGTTGAGGGATTGTCTTAGCAGGTTGTACTAAGCATTCTTACTTTCTAGCACTGTCCATATTATTTGGTTAAGTGATGTTATGTTTGTTAGTATGTAAGAAAGATGAGTGGATTTCTAAAGCTTATTGTCATGATAATATGACCACAGGAGTTCTAGACCAAAGCATTAAAACATTAAAACCGCATGATTTTATGTCTCATTAGGAGAAAGTCATTTTTAGAGTGACACATTTGAAGGGACTCATGACCACAGATAACCAACATTTCCAAATATGCACACACCCAGTGGCCACCTCATTCAGGTTGTCATTCAAGCCTTTAATGTGTGGTGTGTAACTTCAAAAATGAGGGGACCTCTCGCACACAGAACCTTGGAACTTTAGCCACACATGATGAGCACCATCAGAATCCCTTCCTTTTAACACATTTGGCTTCCCAGACAACCTGAAGCTTTGAACAGTAATTCTAGTGCTAAGGAGTGCTGCTCCCTCAGAAGGGAGGAGGAAATGATGGCCCCATATCACTCTTTCAGATCTTCCAGTCAGAAAAGTACTTTCCACATGTCTACCAAGGATCTGCTTGGTTCTTTGTGATAATATTGACATGAATTCTGTTCTCTACTGATGGCGACGAGGTTTTTTTTGTTGTTGTTTTTTGTTTTTTAGAGTCTAGTTTTCTAAAATCTCTTTTGCTGTGGTTAATTAGAAACAAAACAAGGGCTCAAGTTACGTGTCTGGATTTAAAGTGTAGGACATATTGAGCATACCCAAATTTTCAAGTAAGTTTAGATGCTATGAATATATTATGCTTCCTTACCACTTTTAATCAGTCAGCTAATGTTTAAATCTGTACAATAGTGGGCAAAGTAAGCCACATTTTAAGTAATATTGCATTTTAATCACAGCTGAGAAGAGTTGAGAGAAACACTACTTGCTGAAACATGTTTTGTCTATTAACACTTGCTTTGGAAACAGCAATAGGAAATAGGTCGTTTTGTCATACCACTTTTTTTCCCATCAGTTTTGTGAATTTATCCAATCTTAATTATGTCTTTATATTTTTTCTATATAGTTTGATGCTCTGTTTTGTGTGTATTTGTAGGTAGTAAGACCCTTTCCCCTTCTTTAGGTTCTCCGTAAGTTCCATTTTTTTACCCCAAACTCTTAATTCCATATACAATAGTTGATCTTGTTCCTTCTGTATTTTATACATTTTCTTATTTATAATTAAGTAGGTTTTTTTTTTTTTTTCTGTCACTATACTCCTCTTTTTCTTGATCAGGACATAATATGGAAGCCACTGTGAATGCAATTTATTGACCAAGTTTCTTGATCTAGGATTTGTCTCATAGATTTTAGAGAGTCTAGGAATCTCCTGCAACTGTGTGCAGAATTTTCTGATATATATTAGGGGTGGGTGTGATTTATGTGGGTGTGTATATGCAAACACACACACACACACACACACACACACACATTTTTCTGAAAATGGGTTCTGCACATTCTTCAGACTTTTAAAGGGGTTCCTTCACAAGAAACCAGCTATTAAATCTGTATAATAATGAATATATTTTGTCACATATTACAAAATTGTCCATTTTAATCACAGCTGAGAACAGTCACAAGAAGTTGTCTATGGTTTGATATCATTGATGAAATGTCTCCAATGTGGTGAGGATCTGTGGATGGATTCTCCAGTCTGCAGAAATTACAAAATGTACATTTCACCTTCTGCCTTGATGGTACCAGCTGACCTCATGGAACAATGGGCCATTTTAGAGAAAAGTTCTCCAATATCACTGGCAAAGGCATAATCAGAAAAAGGATGCAAAGCTTCACCTCAGGAGTAAAAGCAGAGGATAAGAACCCAAAGGTGTTATAACATGTAAGACTGCAGTAAAACTTGATAGAATAGATCAAATAAAAAATGTTCAGTATGCACCTGTAAAAACAAATGACATAATATCTGTAATTTTCTTTAAACTATTTGAGCAAATATAAAGTTTAAAAAAGGTTAAATGAAGCAAATATGGCAAAAATCTTGGTAATTACTGATTCTGCTCTATAAGTATGTGAGGGTTTATTATATAAAGATTTTTTGCAGCTTCTGCACAGCAAAGGAAACAATCAACAAAACTAAAAGGCAACCAACGGAATGGGAAAAGATATTTGCAAATGACATATCAAACAAAGGGCTAGTATCCAAAATCTAAAAAGAGCTCACCAAACTCCACACCTGAAAAACAAATAATCCAATGAAGAAATGGGCAGAAAACATGAATAGACACTTCTCTAAAGAAGACATCCAGATGGCCAACAGGCACATGAAAAGATGCTCAACGTCGCTCCTCATCAGGGAAATACAAATCAAAAACACACTCAGATATCACCTCACGCCAGTCAGAGTGGCCAAAATGAACAAATCGGGAGACTATAAATGCTGGAGAGGATGTGGAGAAACGGGAACCCTCTTGCACTATTGGTGGGAATGCAAACTGGGGCAGCCACTCTGGAAAACAGTGTGGAGCTTCCTCAAAAAATTAAAAATAGACCTACCCTATGACCCAGCAATAGCACTGCTAGGAATTTACCCAAGGGATACAGGAGTACTGATACATAGGGGCACTTGTACCCCAATGTTTATAGCAGCACTCTCAACAATAGCCAAATTATGGAAAGAGCCTAAATGTCCATCAACTGATGAATGGATAAAGAAATTGTGGTTTATATACACAATGGAGTACTACATGACAATGAGAAAGAATGAAATATGGCCTTTGTAGCAACATGGATGGAACTGGAGAGTGTTATGCTAAGTGATATAAGCCATGCAGAGAAAGACAGATACCATATGTTTTCACTCTTATGTGGATCCTGAGAAACTTAACAGAAACCCATGGGGGAGGGTAAGGAAAAAAAAAAAAAAAGAGGTTAGAGTGGGAGAGAGCCAAAGCATGAGAGACTCTTAAAAACTGAGAACAAACTGAGGGTTGATGGGGGGTAGGAGGGAGGGGAGGGCGGGTGATGGGTATTGAAGAGGGCATCTTTTGGGATGAGCACTGGGTGTTGTATGGAAACCAATTTGACAATAAATTTCATATATTAAAAAAAAATATATATATATATATAATATACTTATCCTAATTGTTTAACTCCAGCTTTCTGGTCTTATTAGAACCAGTATATGGACAGTCAGCTCTGATGGAAGCAAAACAGAGATTTGGGGCAATTAAATGGACAATAAAAAAGCTGGAAAACTAACTCTAGCAACACTGAGAAATGCATAGGATACTAGAAGAAGTAAGCTGAGAATCTATGCAAAATTTAGCAAGACATAAAGAAAAAAAGGGTCAGCTCAGTAATAAAAGCAAAGTAAAATAAAATTATTTTCAAAGATTTTAGGGAAAGTAAAGCACAGACTACTGCTGGGAATGTAAATCATATAGCCTTAGTAGTGAAAAATTTAGGGACATGAATCAAAAGTCTTAAGACATTTCATATTCTTTGATCTGTTCATTCCCTTAGTAACAGTATAACCTAAAGCAACTGCTTCTGCACACATTTCTTACTGCATTAGATCTCTGAGGGAGGGGCTTTGTCTACCTTACTGACCACTATATCCCTAGCATAGGTCCTGACCACGCAGGAAGTATGTGCTTAATGAATGTATGTTAAATAAACAGAGAAGAATTAGAAACAACCTAAACGTCCGATAGAATTATTTGGTACATTTTGATACAGAAGATACACTAGTCATTGTAAGTTGGTTTTTCAAAGGATATCAAATGACATGGGATAATGCTGTCAATATAATGTTATATGGGAAAAATAAGAATGTAAAATTATATATGGAATGATCCTAATTAAATATGTCCAAACTAGTATGAGGAAATACAGCAAAATTTTAATTGCAGTTATCCATGGGTGATTTCCACTTAAGCACATTTGAAATGTTCGCCTTCAAATGTTTCTGTGGCTTCCAAGTTATTCATTAGGACAAAAATCTTTTCTAAAAATGAATTTTAGGGGTGCCTGGGTGGTTCAGTCGGTTAAGTGCCCAACTTTGGCTCAGGTCATGATCCTGTGGTCTGTGAGTTCAAGCCCCATGTAGGGCTCTGTGCTGACAGCTCAGAGCCTGGAGCCTGCTTCAGATTCTGTGTCTCCCTTTCTTTCTGCCCCTCCCCCACTTGCATTCTGTCTCTGTCTCTCTCTCTCTCTCTCTCTCTCAAAAATAAACATTAAAAAAATTAAAAATAAATAAATAAAAATGGATTTTAGTTTTATAGGCTAAGGCTAGATAAGTATAGCATTACAAAAAGAGCCAGTCTTCGATTTCTTCCAATCCAAGTTCCCACTCTCCAGTTTGAGGTAACCATTCTTACAAGTTTGGTGTGTGTCCTTCTAGATCATTTTTAATGGTTTTACATACATATACTGTATATGTACTATAAAGAATATGTGGAATTGGTATATATTTTTTATAAGTTGTGTTAAGTTGCTTGCATATTTATCATCTAGTTTTTGCTTTCTGTTTTAACTCAACAATCTATTTATGAGAACTGCCTATTTTGAGATTGGATGATTCAATTCATTCCCCTTAACTGCTATCCAGCATCACATTCGATTTAGCCATTTCCCTATTAGTAAGTAGGTAAGGGTCTGGGTATTCTCTCTCTTTGAATCTACTGAAGAAAGGGATGGAGGAGACCACGTCCTACTCTGCTGCTGGTGTCAGGGGAAGAAGTCTTCTCAAGGCAAAGAGTGGGATGCAGTTCCCAAAAGAGGAAAGCAGGTCCAGGTCCTCGTGCCTGCAGAAAGACCATGGGAGCCTTCCCCCCTCAGTATTCGGCCACATATACAAATATTCCACAAAGATTTATTGAGTAATTACCATGTGTCAGGCACCATGCTAAACCCCAATCTGGCATGCATGTGTAAATAATAATGCACCAAAGGCTGTGGATACAATGAACTATGAATTCCCATTAACCTATCAGAGTATGCTTAGATTTCTGCCTCAGTTGTAACTGACTTCTGGGTACTGAAAAGCTTCAGGGGCACCTGGGTGGCTCAGTTGGTTAACCAAATGACTCTTGGTTTCAGCTGAGGTCATGATCTTGTGGTTTCCTGAGTCTGAGCCCTGCATCAGGGTCTGTACTGGCAGTGTAGAGCCTGCTTAGGAGTCTCTCTCTCTGCCCCTCCCCGACTTGTGCTGTCTCTGACTCTCTCAAAATAAATAAATAAACTTAAAAAAAAAAAAAAAAGCATTGGGGCGCCTGGTGGCTCAGTCAGTTGAGCATCCGACTTTGGCTCAGGTCATGATCTCACAGTTCATCAGTTCCAGCCCCGCGTCAGGCTCTGTGCTGACAGCTCAGAGCCTGGAGCCTGCTTCAGATTCTGTGTCTCCCTCTCTCTCTGCCCCAAACCCACTTGCATTCTGTCTCTATCTCTCTCAAAAATAAATAAACATAAATTTTTTTTTTTTAAAAAAGCATCAAAGTAATGCAAGAAATCATAAGTCAGCCATAGGATTTATTTATTCTCATGTAAAGTATATTTCAGGGTAGGAAAAAAATGTGAGTTTCCAGTTTGTTTTTTATAATTTATAAAATGGGACTTGGTGATCTGTAAAATCACTTTCAGTTTTAACAGCTTAGAATACAGGATACTTGCAATAGGGCTCTTTTACCACTAGGTGCCGCTATTGACAACACAAAAGTTAAAAAGCAAGGGCTTTATACACTGCAGTACTGCTTGAAAGAACACTACAACATTTAAGAATAAAAATGTGAAAGCACTTTTACAGACAAGCCCTATAAAAGGACCTATGTGCATATTTAAATAGCTCAGTTCCATGGGCACAATAGTAGTTAAGTACTGCCTACATCCTTCTGGAAAAACCTTCAGCAACTTACTGGTCAGCAGTATAAGGGGGGAATCAGAGGGTCTTAGAATTGGAAGGGAGCTTATTTGTCCATTAGTTTTCAAATCTCTGTTTCCTGGAGTTAGAAATATATTTCCATGCACGCGCAGAAATACACACCCATATAAACAGATTATATGTATATATAGCTGAAGCCAAAGTTTCACCAAACAGTAATATCCTTACCATGTGCAACCTATTTTTTCCATATATTTGTAAAATAATAGAATATATAAATATTTAAATATATATATTTATTTATATATCTGCCCCCAGTTCTGGCACAGAGCTCCTAAACCCTTGTGATTTCTCAAGTGATGAGAACATGAGGAGCATTTCTTCTAATACTTGGTCTTTGATTCTGGCTCCCGACACTGACTTCCTAAATCCCTTGGAATTTCCTGGGTGATAGGAGTGTCTTTTGATATAAGGAGCTGACTCTTGGTGGGCTCTTGAACAGCTTCAGGATGGGGGCTGGTCACCAGAAAGACCAAGGTCTGATTCGAAGCTTGGGGCTTTCAGACCTGTTCTCCATCCTCTGGGAAGAGGGGAAGGGCTAGAAGTAGAGTTCGTGATCATTCATGCCTTCATGATGACATTTCCATCAAATCCCAAAAGTACGAGTTTGAGAGAGCTTCCAGGTGGACAGAAGCTCCTGCACCTGGGACTCTCCAGGCCTTGCCCTACGTAGCTCTTCATCTGGCTGTTCATCTGTATTCTGTATCATATCCTTTGTTACATAATCAACCGGTACACGTAAGTGTTTCCCTAAATGTTATGAGCCATTCTAGCAAATTATTGAACCCAAGGAGGAGGTCATGGCAACCTTGGTTTATAGCTGGTCAGTCAGAAATATAGGTGACAACCTGGGACTTGTGACAACCTGGGGTCTTACATGGGGAGGTCTTGTGGTGCTAATTCCAGGCAGATGGTATCAGAACTGAACTGAATTGCAGGACACCAGTTGCTACTTCAGGATCATTTGATGTGTGAAAAACTTACACATATAGAGTCAGAAGTGTGGTGAGTGTAGTAGTATGAGAGTAAAGAAGATAACACAGGGAATGTTTCCCAGACATATTCTATTTCATAAAAAATATACATATATACTAGTCATAAACTAATAACTAATTAGTGATCTAATACACTTCATTCCATTTAATACATTAGGAAAGAGAGGCTCAGAGAGGTGCAGTGACTTGCCCCAGGTAACACAGCCAGGAAACAGGCATTCCAGGCACTGGCAGGTTTGGTTTTGTAAGGTCCTGGGTAAAAACTGAAAAATATCCTTGGCATACCCCCAGCCCTTTATGCATTCCTACCTTCTAGAGCCTGTGGGCCAGTACCTGCTTGTGATAAAAACTGACAAAGTAGTTGTGTGACTAGTTATATACAATCATCATTTAAAAAATACAGGATCTTTCCAAAATGCAAGAGTGATCATTTCAACTCTTCTACTTGCATTCCCTCAGTGGTTCTTTCTGTTTTTGAGGCCAGATACAAATTCTCAGTGTGGCAATAAATCTCCTCCAGACCTGGCCCCAGTCCTTTGAGCCAGCCTCACTCTTTGCCAGTTCCCCATGCATTTTCAAGGTCTTTCCTCCATTCTTGACCTGGCTAAATCTTAGATTTTTCACAGCTCCACTCACATTCCTCTTCTGCAAACCTTCCCGGGCACTGGCTTTCCACACCTTTGCCACAGCACACATCCTACTGTCCCTGAGTCTTCTTCTTGTCTGTGTTTTTCACTGGACTGTGGCATTCTTATGAGCCAGGGTCATGTCTTTCTGTTTGTCATCCCTGGCCACTAACACCGGGCTAGGTACACAAGAGAAACTCAGTTGGTATCTGCTGGACTGATTATTTGCATATTCTTATTCTCACATTTTAATCCTTAAAAAACCCAACTCACTGGAATATCAGCTGTTTGAATTATGTAAGAGCTGGTTCTGACAATGCAGATCTCCATTTTCTAATATCTTGAGAGTATGAATAAAAACTATACGTATCTCAGGAAAAATGGATGCAAAAACCCAGTTTTAACTTCCTTTACTTTAATACATCTTTATTTTAATACATCTGTGTTAGGAAGATTGTTAGTTTGGGTTTTTTATCCCCCAGTCTGTAGGCTATAGTATCAAATGATCAACACAGCTGCTGGCCCAATCCCCAGACTGAGAGCCTTCCCTGGATCACTTACAAAGGGCAGACAACAACTCTCATGTGCATGCTACCTTATAACATACCAAAGAAAGTGGGTAAGTTATTTTATTATCCATCATTAAGGAGGCGTTCAGAGTGAAAGGGAGAAAATTAAATGCTACTATGACTAAGTGCAGTGAGTAATGAAGGGAGAGGTTGACCAGTGGGAGCTATGGTGGTCAGAGATGGCTTTGTAAGAGTGAATTATATAGACTAGGTTGAGAATTGAGTAGAGAGATGGAGAAGGAAGCATTTCCAGGTGGGAGCCAGCAAGAACAACATTCAGATAAGGATGTGGGTGGAGACAACTTGCCTGATGGGGGGGTGGGGCCCATTTGTGTTGGGAAACAAGGTGGGAGGGAGGGAGGGAGAATGTATGCTGACACTGGATAGGAGCTGGGGCTAATTATCCCAGATCACCCTTACTCTTGTGGCATTATGTTGGTTATGAAGCACATTCAGGTTGACTTAGCATTTTGATCTCCTTCCTGCTCTTGGTAGGTGAGTAGGATGGATGTTAATGGGCTTTTTAAAAATAGAAATGGCAAAAGCCTAAAGGAGATTAGGAAATTTAGCCCAAGTCACACAGCTGGCAGCTCACCAACCTCACAGTCTAGAATTCAACACTTCTATTTCACAGACCAAGAATTACAGTCGGTCTCACAAATCACATAGCTGAGGACCAAGGAGGTGAAGTAAGTGTTCCAAGGCTACACAAAAGCAGTTTAGGATACTGTTTGGTAGCTTTAACCAGCACTATTTCTGATTGAAGGGGTTTTGCATTATATTAACTGGAGAAGAAACCCGGAGGAAAAATCCTCATATTGCAGAGAAAGAGCTGTTACTTTGACAAAACAAAATATTTTCTAATGTTTTATAACTGTTGGGATAACAGTCTGTTATGTAGCTGCATTCTTAAAAATGGAAATTTTTATCAATCAAAAATTAAGTTTTTTTAAAGCAAAAACTATTCTGAAAAGAAATAGAGCTGCCTGAGCAGAGATATCTATCTGGGGGGAGTGGTCTCTACAACCTACAAGAGCTTTTCAGAATTATTTTCTGCCACTGATGAATTTTAAGGTCTTCATCAAGCAGACCAAAAAAAAAAAAATTAACTTGAAAACAACTCTGACACCAACAAAAACATTGTCCCTATGTGATTGATACTATCCCTCAGAATCTGGTAGCAAAGGGTAACTAATATTTCCAAACGAGTACATCATCCAGATGACACATTATTATAATTTATTTAGTTTTTTTACCCCAGAAATGACATGGTCTGAGAAATGACTTGCTGAGAAATCTGTGTTTACATTAGGGAGAGTGGATGGGGGGGGCGGGGAGCGGTGGGTGATGAAAATCCCTGCAGAAGTTGAAAAGATGTTAAGTGGTAAATACCAAAATGCCCAGCAAGCATGTAAGCAGGCTCTCATCCCAGCATGAATATGTGCAGCTCAGCATTTTAAAATTTACTTTTAGCTTTTCTAGCAGTTTGAATTAACCCATTCTCTACTTCCACTCCCGATGTGAGAGCTCAGCCTCGAACCTACAGACTATGAGTGCAGGCACAGTCTACTGTGATCGGCCAGTAGATAACCCCCTCACCCCATGGCTTCCTCCAAGTGGGCTGTCTCATGAACAAATGCCTCCTAGATGTTCTTAACAACCAGGAGGCCTGGAGCAAAGTCCAGACAAATGGTAGGAAGTAAGTCAGGCTTGCTGGAGCTCATACAGAACTGGAAAAGGCCTATTGGGAGACCAAAACAATACAAATAAATGCCACACTAAAGGTACGTCCAGATCAGAGGTTCTCCAGAAGCAGGTGGGTCAGAACCACCCCAGTGAGGCTGTTTCAGAAGATAGCCCCAAGCATTCATAGTCATAAAAGATCCACAGGTGATTCTAAAGTACATTCCTCATTGATAGACACCGATCTAGATTGTCTAAAGAGACAATTACATTTTGTCTTAGTTTCAACCCCTGGGCAAGTTAAAATGAAAAACAAAACAAGCAAATCCAAACCAAAAATTCTTCCAGATTAGGTATACAGTATATCAGTTACTACAGACATTTGCTTCCAATAGAAAAAATAATCCATGTCAAAGTCTTGGTGAGTTGAAATATTGCACGGTATTTGTCCTATTAAAACCGGGCTGGCCAAGTATACTTTTGGTGTCCTTCATGCCACAATTTTCTAAGTTCTTTGGCTCAACAGAAGAAAGTTAAGAACAAAAACAAAACAAAAGCCAAGAGAATAAAAGAAAGTTAACTGAACAATAAAGAATTATTACAATTCTGAAATAAAGCCATCCACTCCTGTGTTTGGGTGAGTGTTATTGTAGCAAAGTCCAATGCTTCCTAAACGATGGGGCCCTGCCTGGCTGAAAACCTAAACAAACAGTCCATGTTCAGCCTATTAAAGATGAAAAAAAAAAAAAAAAAAAAAGGGGACCCCCGGGGGGGCGCAGTCAATTAAACGTCCCACTTAAACCAGGGACGCCCCGGCGTCCGGGTGTTCGAGCCCCGCGTCGGGCTCTGGGCGGATGGCTCAGAGCCTGGAGCCTGTTTCCGATTCTGTGTCTCCCTCTCTCTCTGCCCCTCCCCCGTTCATGCTCTGTCTCTCTCTGTCCCAAAAAAATAAATAAACGTTGAAAAAAAAAATTAAAAAAAAAAAAAAGATGAAAGAAGACTTAACATTTGATGGGGCCAGTGAAGACCCTAAGTGTAACAGAGATAACAGGGTCTTTGTCTTGGCAAACCATTCAATGCGGGCTTTCCTTTTTACCTTGTTGATGGACATTTCATTCATCCTCAGAAGCTGCTCTGGCATAACTCAGAGGTAGATTTAGCCCAACAACTGGCCCTACAACGCTCAGCCAAGATGTGATGTAGTTGACACTCCTAGGAAACAAGTGAAAAAACAGGAAACTCTCATGCTTCCATTGTAGTTGGGTGAGTGGTAGAAAATCAGTTACCAACAGAAGAGATGAGCTGTCTTCAAAGATATGTGCCCACCATGTGGAATTCTAGCATTTCCAAATATCAGCTCCATTACTTGACAGGAACTTGAGGTCCAAAGGGACTGAGGATCCCCAGTAAGGTAGTTAAAAGGGGAGTCAAGGCACTGGGACTCCTGACTCCCCTTGATGATTCCAATTTTACACTTAAAATTTACAGCATTTGCTACGGTAGCATAGTGCAGTGGTTAAGAGCATGGCTCTGAGGCACAAATGCCTGGGTTCAAATCCCAGTTCTACCACCTAACTAGCAGTGTGAACTTGGCCAAGTCATTTAATTCCTCTGTGCTTTAGCTTCCTCTTCTGTAAACTGGGTAAAATAATGGAAATTAGCTCATGGGGTGTTATAAAAATCCAATGTCTTAATATATCTAAAATACTTAGAACAGTGCCTAGCACACAGTAAAAATCAATAAACATTAGCCATTATTATTATTACAAAAAATATTTCTTTTTTAGCTTGGCTTTTAGAGTCACATAAAAAGATTTACACTTTTAAAATAAGAGTAAAAGCCAATGTATCTTGATGGTGTTTCTTACCTATTGATTTTTTGAGAATTCTTTAACACAGGAGTCATGAATTCATCCGTCTTGCAGGGATGAAGTACAAAAAAAGGCTGCCCAAGTATTGGATGCTCCTGTAGGAATCAGAGTTGGTCCAGGATGCCAGTATGAGTTACTTTGAAAAAGTTAAAACGCACAATCTGGTTTGTTAAAATAAAAGTTTGCTTTAAATTCCAAGTTACTAAATTAAGATACAGATCAATTTCAGTTTTTGAAATATAATTCATAATCTGCACATGATAAGAAGTTATGAATTGATAAAGTATAGAAGGGTACACAGTTTTGTTTACACAATACCAACTGTAGACAAATTTTATCAGTTTCCTCTCTTTGTCAACTAATGTTACTCTATGGCCTGTAATTATTCTCCGGTTTTTCCTCAAGGCTGTCTGTGAAGCCCAGTAGCCTGACCACGTGAACAACGTATTTCATTCGCCTCATTGTAAGGGAACCAAAATCTTTCACACTTTTTTTTTTTTTTTTTTTTACATAAACTTTGCCAATGTGTTGATTGTTTCAAGCATCACTGCGGTGCCAACAGGCACATGTTCAGTGGGTAGAATGGTAGGGGAGGGGAGAGGAAGCAGGAGAATGGCTTGCATTATTTAAATTGTTGTACTTCTGTCTGTCTCTTTCTGAGTTTCCTCTGTTTATCTGTTTCTATCCTTCTGTCTCTCCCAAGCTTATTGGGCCGTTTCTGTAAATCAAAACTCACTTGATGCAACGCCACTGCCTTCATAGGAGAATGACTGGATCCAAGATACAGGTCAGACCGCTGCCAGTGTAGCAATGTGGACATAATTTGGCCAACAATGGGAAGCCCTAGGAGATTTCTATGTAGTGAGTGATCCACGCACAAATTGTACCAATGCAAAAACAATTATAACAATAAATTTATTGATCGTTTACATTGTAGATTCACAACTACTCCAAAGACTGCAAACTCAAATACTGCTATGGTCTGAATGTTTGCATCTCCCCATATTCATATGTTGAAATCCTAAAGCCCGGTGTGAAGGTATTACAGGAGGTTGGGCCTTTAGGAAGTGATTAGGTCATGAGGGTAGAGCCCTCAGGAATGAGAATTTGGACCTTATAAAAGAGATCCCGCCCCCTGATTGCTAGTTCACCCCCTTCTGCCATGTGAGGACACAAGAAGTGTGTGACCCGAAAGAGCGTCCTTATGAGAACAGGCTGGTATACTGATCTCAGACTTCAGAATTGTAAAAAATAAATTTCCGTTGTGTGTAAACTACCCAATCTGTGGTATTTTGTTATAGCTGGCCAAGCAACCTGGGACAGATACCTACAAAGATCACACAGGTAGCGTGAAGGAGCGAGGTCAGTTAAATACACAAGCAGGTGACAGGGACTGTGGGGAAATGGAGAGTGTGCCCAGCCAAGGCTAGGCTTGCTACTCTGCTCCAGCCAATTGTGCCATGTGGGAATGTAGGTTCAGTGTGCCAGGTCTTCCCATTTGTCAAAATAACCTAGCAATCCAGATTTTTATGTAAAATCTCCTAAATTTAAATTTTGGCACTTTTTTTTTTTTTTTTTTAAACATAGAGTGGGCCAAATAAAACAAGCCTGTTGGCTGGATTTGGACTAGGGGCCTAGCTTCTTCTCCTGGCTTCTTCTCCTCTTGTCAGCCAGTCCAAGGAGAAGCTGAACTCAGAGCATCCATGGAAAGAATTACGTGTGGTTGTTGCTGCTAACTCTACCCTCCAACCCCAAAACACTCATGTTGGTGTGCATGTGCACACACCTGCTCACAGGAAACAGAGGCACCATTCCACCATGTATTGGAGATGCTGGGTATGGAAATTTGGGGATGTATGTGTGTGCTGAGGGCTGGGGTATCCACTGGGTATGGGGCAGTGTATGTCTCCTGAGCGCCACCTCCAGAGTCTGCCTAGTGGCCTGACTCTTACAGCAGAGCCTGGGCTCGCTCCCTCTTTCCTGCTCTCTTCCCACCCCTCCTTCCCATTTGAATCTAAGCAGAGCCTAGGGTCAGAGCCCAAATGTGTTATGCCTATAGCAAGTCTTCCCGTCCAGCTTGATTCTGGCTCTCCTTATATGCCTTAAACTAGTATTTATTAATTCAACACATATCTACTGATCATGTCTTATGTGTCTGCCAGGAACAGTTCTGGATATAGTAATAGAGTTCACTGTATTGCAAAGATAAACAAAGTCCCTGATCCCAGGGAACTTTCATGCCAGTGCAGGAGACAGCCAATAAATTTATAGAACAAATAAATAGACAAAATAATCCAGAAAATAATAAGCGTTATGAATAAAATAAAACAGGGTCCCTTGATTTTGAGAGCATTTAGAACCAAAAAGCTCCTTTTTGTTGTTAAATAAATCCCTTAAATATGTTGCTAATCATGGCCACTCTTCTAGCAGTGTGTCAAAAGCATCCATAATCACTTCCATGGTTAAACTGTATATGGCCAACACCCAATGCTTTCTCAAGTGTGTCAGCTTCTCTTAGTTGTGGCAAACTAACCAAACCATTAATTACTTCTCAGATACGGATGGAAAATTAATTTTTAAAATACTCAAAAATCCTGGCTTCTAAATATATAAGACTACTGAATACAGGCCTTAAGTCATTATGAATATAATAATGATTATACAATATAGAAAAATAAAAAGTTTCCCCGATGTGATTAGAATTCATATCTTCCCTCATCGTTCACTTAGCAAATATTAAGTCTTCTTGTCTGACAATTTTATAATGATTTAACCCTAACTAATGGCAAATCTGTAGTTTTAAAATGTGGCTAATCTTAGCGATATGTTAATGCTGCAGAAGTGACAGAATTCAAAGTGAGCCTTATGACCTGAGCTGATACTATTTTTTCAGTAACATTCAATCAACTAATCTTGAAAGCCAAACAATTTATATTCAAAGTTACGGTAGAGAATTTACAAATAATTTGAGGTGTCTTATCAGTGTAGACAATCAATCTGGATAATATTCTCCAAAAGCCATTTTTCTGCACTGGAGATTTTTTAAGGTTCATGCCATCAGGAAACATTATCTGCATTTTCTACTTTCTCCTGCAGACAGCCAGAATCAGAGATGAAAGCCGTCTTTCATTTTTAGTTTAGGAATTATGAGCTAGAGTTCAAAAAAATCTAAAACCCTACACCTTATTTGTTTAACATACCATTTTCAGAAATGGAAGAACATCAAAACTGTCAGGATCTTTTTAGTGACATTTCTTAGATCAATTCAGAAGGTAAATTTGTGTGAAAGTACTACCATCTGCTGTCAGTACTAATGAACTGATGCAAATCTGCACTGAGAAAAATGTCAGTGTGGAAATACATGCAGCCAGTGAACTGTGTTAGGCTTACAACTCAATAAACACTTCTACTGGAACAAAGTTCTGCTAAATGGTTTTCCGTGAAAATAGAAATGATGGGTCAGATTTCTATCTCTGTAACTCCAGAGGAGTTATATAGGCACATTCTCCTATGAAATTTAATTTAGCAATGGTTAAATGTCTCATAAAATAAGTCTGACATGAATACTGTGAATTGGTTTCAGAACTATTAGATATGACTATCACAAGGAAATGATAATACTGCACCTTCATTCTTACATCTAATAAAGGAGATGAATTTCTTGGTTCATTTCTTAATTTTCTTGGCTCTCCAGGAGGGCACAAATATAATTTCACATATGAAGCTTTCATCCAGTTGCATATTCCAGACTGATCGAATTTGCCTTCCACTCAGGGTATATTCCTTAGAAATGGAGAGGGATATTTCCCTAAGCCTGCTTCCTCAAGCAGGGAAAGGAAAACGGCTATTGAACGTCTGCAGTATGAGACACTGTACTAAGTGCTTTGCACGGGGTCACCTATCTGAGTAATTCTTTGAGGAAAGCTTTATTGTTGCCACTGGGAGAACGGGTTCAAAGGGATTACACTTAAAGTCATCCATGTAGTAGGGAGCGAAGGACCTCTGAAGTGTGGTCTTACATTGCACCTTCCCACCCCACTGACCAGAGGTGTTGTCAGGGACATTTAATCCTCTCTCTAGTCCATCTCTGCAAAAATCTACTTACTTTTATTTCAAAATAATGTGTTTTCATAAAATTGTAAGGGAAATACATACAGAGAGCTCAGAAAATACAGAAAAGAACAAAGAAAAAAAGCAGGATAACCTAAGACTGACCAACTCAGATTTAATCACTATTTGGTGAATTTCAAACCTTTTCATGTACACACATTTATAGTCTTCTATTGCTTTTTATTCAATGAACAGAAAGATATGTACCAAGTGCCACTATATGCCAGTCCTGCCATATGTGTTTTTTGTTGGTGTTCTTGAAGTTTCTTTGTCTTTTGTTTTGCAGATTTCTATACTTATTTTTATTTTTTCCCTGTATATATTTTGTTCTGATTTATTTTGTTGTTCTTGATTTTTTTAATTTTGCATGGGTACTTAAAAATATGCATAAAGAATATGTAATCTTGAGTTGTTGGCTAGAGTGCTCCCCATGTGCCACTAGATCTAGCCAGGTAATTGTGCTGTCCATGTTTTCTAGATTCTTATCTGTTTGATCTACGAATTTCTAAAAGAAGTTTAAATCTCTCATTAAAATACTTGATTTGTCCATTTCTGCTTGAAGTCTGTCAATTTTCATTTTCTATGTCCTGAAGCTATGTTATTTGAAGGCACATATCCAGAGAATGAGGCTTTAATACAGTGATCATACTTATCTCTGATTATGTTTTCTTCCCCCAAAAAAACTTTTATCTGCTATAAATATAGCCACACCAACTTTCTACTTACCTAATGCATTTTAAAAATTATTTGCTTTTCAATCTGTGTCCTTATGTTGCATGTATTTCCTATAAAAATAACAGATTCTTTAAGAAATCCACCTTAATAATCTATCTCTTAAATGGAGTGTTTAGTTCACTTGCAGGCTTTGTGATTACTGATATAATTTAATTTTATTTTTTCTATTTTAGACTTTTTTTACTTATTCTATTTTTAATGTTTCTTTTCCTTTTCATTTTTATTCCTCTGTTGCTTTCCTTTAGATTCA